AATATAAGAAGTATACAATTTTAATTTTGAAAGTAGTGTGTTTTAATTTTTGAAAAATGAGACCAAATGGATCTCATTCATCCAATAGTCTATATAAATGTGTTGAAACCACGAATATTACACCTTCCCGAAAGATAAGTGTATACCTCGGCAATTGACCCAATCATACAAACTTCGTGACACCCGTTTGGTCTGCGAATCTTTTATGTGTGACCGACAAGTTTCCCTATCTAACATAGAGATTAAATAGGGTTTATTTTATTTTGGATCCAAGTTCCCTATAGAGTCAAGTCTCTATAGTTAATTACATCCTAATTAACTCAAGTCACTTGAGAAAATTCTCGATAATGATCAGAGGAACTAGTCTTCAAGAATTCAAGGTTTAGTTTTTCATAGTAGGACATGGAAAAGCACGTGAAAGTGACTCAAGTAAGAACAGTTATTTTCAAGAGTCGAAGGAAGGAAATGGTAGGGGTCATCACAGATCCTGGGGAGGTCCCCCAATGACTTTCCAAACTATCATACTGTGTGACTGCGTTTTGGAGACGATATTATTTGAGCGTTCAATCCTGTCAATTTTTATTATATGGACTTACATTTGCATAATACATGTTTATGCAAATATTCCGCAGAGATATGAGGGTTTACGTCGTACCACACGACAACCCCAGAACCTAAGACGAGTTAGGACTAGTGTTGCACAACATGGTTGCACAGGAGCATAAAGAGGGTGTGAGCATTTACGTCGCGTTGGGCGAGCTATCTCGAAGTCCTATGGTTATCATTGTTAAACTAAAAAAAGAAATTGCTGAAGAAGATCATCTTGTTGCTCGATCAAAGCTACTCGTCATGTTGCCCACGAAGTTGGCTCTGAGCCTCTCGTTGTAGTAGTAGCTCCAAGGTTTAAGGGTTTTGGATTGAGGTTTAACGTTTCACAGTTTTGATGTCAAAGTTTGGTTTTGTTGTTGTCGTCCAAATGTCATATCTAGAGGGTTTTAATTTAATTAGAGCGACGCCGGTTATGATTTCACGATTCTATCATTCCGACATCACTATTTTCTTTTGAATTTATATAGTCTAAAGAAGTTATTAGGCTCGTTTAAACTGGAAAATCCTCCTAAATCCCAAAGGGGTGAATTAAGTGCATTCAAAAGGGTTTAAAAGTGTATATTAATTTTAGAAAAAGTGTTTTGTGGTTTGTAAAGGGTTTAAAAGTGTATATTAATTTTAGAAAAAGGGTTTTGTGGTTTGTAGGTAATGTAAAGCATATATGTTGTTTGTGAGTAATGTAAAACATATACAAATGAAATGTATGGGAAAAGTAAATAAAATGCGGTGAAAAAACTATAAAATGTGTACCTGAGTCTTTGCTACTGTTGTAAGGTTAGCATCAAATGTGAAAATAAACATGTATAGCTAAGGATTTAACAAACTCATTGAATATGAGTGTACATATAGAAAGAGCAGGTGACACATGAAAGCTCGAAAAGGACCTATAAGAATTCAACTCAGGGTGGGCTCAAAGCTGGATTGTGTGCTTCATAATCCAACTTTGGATAGATGCCACCAACGCAAACTATCGAAGGAGGGCAGCTCCCGACCACAATCAAGATGATTAACAAGTGGACCTTATGAAATTTTATCAAAGCTTATTTAATTTTTTCATGCATTCAAATATTTTTTAGCAGTCAAAAGTAGTGTTGTTGTGACGTGAATTTGTTCATAGTATCTGCGTAAATTTTTTGGAGAAGTGTAGTATCTGCCTAAGTGTTTAGAAAAGTAAAATGGTTCACAAGCTGCTCACTTTGATTGGGCCAGAACTAGCGACAACCTAAGAAAGTAGGGGAGCAACTTCGCACCAAGAATTGGTGAATAGTTTCATCGATCCTGCTCTCCCCTTTTAGAGGGTTATCGAGGCAGGGGATACTATTATATCGTCCCTCCTTAGCACGCATAAGCACTTTCATCATCGCCTTAAAAAAGAAAAAAAAATGGGGGGAAGAAGAGAGTAGACTTGACTCAACTCCCAAAATCGACGGGACAGGAGAGCAGGACAACTAGTGGGTCAGCTCAAAAATGTGTTTAAATCCTCATAAGATCACGATCCAAAGAAACCCAAAACTATAGGCAAAGGTGTCACATAACCACCTCTAAACCATGTTTAAATCAGCACTTAAAGGCTACATGAACCTTCTCCAAAACCATGATTTACAGTGCCCCAAACAGCTTACATATGAGCCCAAACAACAACTAAATGAGCCCAAACAGCAATTATAAAACATCATACAGCTCCAAAAAGCATTTAGCAACTCCAAACAGCAATTCTGAAGCATCCTACAGCTCCCAACAGCAATTCTAAAACATCCTACGGCTCTAAACAGCATTTAGCAACTCCAAACAGTCATTTAAATGTCCTACATAGCAATTACATGAACCAAAACAGCACTTATTTGAGCCCAAACAACCTATAAAGCACCCCACAGCAATTAGTCCAAACAGTCATTTAAATGTCCTACATAGCAATTATATGAACCCAAACAGCACTTATTTGAGCCCAAACAGCACCTATTTGAGCCCAAACAACCTCTAAAGCACCCCACAGCAATTAAATAAAGCACCCCACAGCAATTAGCAGCTCCAAACAACAATTTTACAGCTCCAAACAGCAATTTCAAAGCTTCAAACAGCACCTACAGCACTTAACGACCCCAAACAGCACCTATAAAGCACCATACAGCAATTAACAGCTCCAAACAGCAATTTTACAGCTCCAAACAGCACCCTACAGTACTTAATGACTCCAAACAGCAATTTACAGCTCCAAACAGTATCCTACAGCACTACACGGCATCTTTAGCAACTCAAACAGTAATTCACAGCACTAAACAGCATTTTGAATACCTCAAACACTACATAGCATTTTTAATACCTCAAACAGTAATTTGCAGCACTACACAATATTTTTAACACCTCAAACAGTAATTCGCAGCACTACACAACACTTAACTCACAAAACATATTTTTAGAGGCTCCAAAACAGTGAGGAATTTGAGCAAGAACAGAACCCCAAATGATGGGTTTAATGCCTCCAAAACAGTGAATATAGCATCTAATCCTTTCCAACGAAAAAACACTGAACATATGCAGCTAGCATGACGAGCAGCCTATAGCATATTTGTCTCGGAGTTCTCAAAACAGAGACTAGATGCAACATAAGAACATTAAGAATCATCAAGCATGCTCACAAAATCGGCTACCACAACTTTATGAATAAAGCAACATAATATTCCTACTAACATAACAACAGCATGTGTGAATGGCCTAGAGTTTCTCAGAAAAGTTACTAATCGGCTACTTGCATGCATAACACCCATTCTTACGTATTTGCACATCTAACACCCAAACTTCAATATTTACATGTATAACACGTAAATCTTTAGTCTCACATATAAAAAAAACAAACCACTACATCTACTTTTAAAAGGTTGAACAAACAATTCCATGCTTAAATTTATCATACTAAAGTGTTATGAATGTAAATATGAAACTTTAGCCGTTAGCAATATAAATATAAAAGAATTGAGTGACAAAAACGTAAATTTCCCGTTGAGGCGTTTACCTTTCAACAATTCGTTACAGGTCATTAGGCACGCAATTTATTAACTTCTATGTGGGGAGCAGGTTTATTAGACAAATAATGATCCCTAATTAAACTCTATTAAAGTACAATTAGGGCGGTTAATTTTGAAATCCGAAATTTGAAATCATTTAGCTCGTATTCAACCCTTGTCCAGCTCAAATTGAACCCGAATTGCACCTGGGCTGAGCCTAGACTCGCTTCCTTTAATTAAATATTTACGCGCATCAATTTTCGTGTCGTTTGATCTCACGCGGAAATATAACAATATGGGTGTCCTTCTCCTAGCTAAAGTAGATGTTCCGGGCGTATTCACGTGGTTCGTTTCGTCATCTGAGGTTGTTCAAACAAGTTTGTCGATGATCGGATAAAAAATGCATCAAATTTAATTTTTCTTCTAATTTTGGGCTCATGACGGATCATTTTGAGAATTGATTTTAGTATAATCGGTGCAATGTGTGTAAGTGTCAGTGACGTGAACTGCTAGGTTTACACGCGTAGTGTATGTAAATGTATATGTGTGAAAGTCAAAATGGGTATTCCTAAGGCCTCCTAATTCTATAGGAACTCATTTTCGGGTCCTTCACATGCTGGTCCTTAGCCCTTGCAACTAGAAGTTGAGTGCTTGTGGCCGAAAAATGGGTCGAGCAAAGGTTTGCAGTGCTATGTGAGGTGGGTTCCAATACTAGTCCTTTAAGATAGCCAACAAGGAACTCCTAAAACTAAAACCAAGATCCTAGGAGGAAGAAGTCAAGACCTCACCAAAAATGAGGTCAACACAAACCAAAAATATATTTGTGCTTGTGTGAAAATTACATGTTTTGATAATCTCAATCCGGCTTTTAAAATTTCAGCATGCCCAAGTAGACTTCTATGGAAATGCCTATCTCCATCCACCAACCCCCAAGGGTTGGAATAAAACTATTGATGAAGAGTAAAATATATTCAGTCATGCTTCAAAGCAGATATAGGTGTGAACAAAGTAGCTTTCTGTTTTTGAAGTCATATATGATTGGATCGTGAGTTTACTCAAATGGCAAAAAAAAGAACAACTTTTCTTGCCAAAAGGGTGCAAAAATTCAAGTTCGATGCTACCACAGATGACTTTTATGTAACAAATCTCAAAGCTAGAATAGTGCAGGTCATATTGCAATCAAGAGATGATTTGAAAAAAGAATTTATATGGGGTTTAAAATTACTCGCTAGCTGATGCAAATAGCAGGTCCTTAAGAGCTCAACAAGGATACTTGCCAGCATAAAATGTAAACACTATCGTCAAATTTTACCGGACTCTGCATCACAATAGTAAGGCATAACAATGCATCTGAGCTAGAATCTAAAAGTCAAGGCTGACTAAACTGACCTGCGGAAACTGTTAAGAAGTCATTCTCTGCTTTCCAGATATCAGTAAGACTGATTCCAAGGTTAAGCTGGATTAAATATCAAACATTCAAAAGTCTAGTTGAGAAACTGAAATACATTAATATCAGATATAAAGACATGAGTAGCCAAGATATTCTATGTATTATTCAGTAAACAAAAAAGAAATTTGCAGCTTAGTACCTTTGACACGATTGTTCCGATGGAATAACGCAATTTCTTTGCTCTAACTTTTTCCGAGCCAAAGAGAATGCAAGAGCCCAAATTCAGAACCTTTTCAATATCATCAGGGGAATCAAAAGATTTGCAAATTTCCATCATCTTTATGACATGTTGTATAAGGTCTGTTTTATTATCACATCTTCTACAATAATACTCCGCATCCAAACCAATGCTTCCTCCCACAGTGCCAGCCATATAAGCACGAAGGGCACAGTCAATATGAGCAACATGCCCACATGTAAGATCTTTCTCCAGTATTGCCTGGCATCTAATGAAGCTAAATCCTCCACGAGCAGAATCAACACACCCACAGCACAGGATGCAGCAGCAATCACGGCAAAAACCAGATTCACTGCAGCATATATCACAAGCCTTGATTTTCGGCTGAAAACCAATTTTTTTCACGCTTGCGCACATTTTATTGCCAGCTTTGCATCCTCCAGAACTAACTGCTGACTCTGAGCCAGGACGTCTACTCACCCCTAAACTTCCATTATATTTATATGCATTACATGACTTCTCGGCATCTGAAAATTGAGTATAGTACAAATTCAAATGAAATTAAAATTATTTGTGCTATCATAGGAATGTGCTAAATTAGAAAGGAATAGTGAATTAAAAAGGAGATTTATGTTTGTAAAATATACTCAAAATCAAGGAAACTCCCCTCTTTATTCTCTTCCTTTTATGTTCTTGTTAGTCACCGGTCAACAGTTCTCTATTTTTTATATATATAGACTCTTGTATTTAGTCCATTATAGTAAGAAAAAACAAAGGAGTATGTTAGATCTGTGCCAACGGCATCATCTGCCTCATGCTCCAATGAATCAATGTCGAGCCCACCATAATAGTTTGAAGACTTATGTTAAACGTAAGATTAAAAGAGGCAAGTTAATCATTTGTCATTTATTATCGTGAGGTATACATAGAGCTAATATGTTTAAGAATGTGTTATGTTATGTGTGATTGTTGTCCTAAATCTAAATGTTAGAGTTTAGGGGAAATCACCTTCCTCTCGAATGTAGGTGTTTATCCTTCATGTATTTGGGTTGTGTTGTTTAGTTTTAGTAAAATAAAATATTACATTTCTCCTAATCTCTGTGGAAGTTCAACTCTTTCCTATCAAATTGGTAGCAGAGCATTTGATTTCAAAGAAACAAACAACAGGATCAAGGAGTACATCGATTGAACTCGCGATTCCAACTGTATTGCGAGCTAGCAAGGAAGCAAAGAAGGGATCGCAGTGTATAGAGACGACCGAACCTCTCAACACAATTGTAATTTGAAGCCAACAGGGTCAAGCATTAGACCTAGCGGAGAAGCCAACAGGATCACGACCTACAGGAGGTCTACATTGAATCGCTTGATTCAACCTATCTAGGAAGCAAATAACGCGATTGCGGCATATAGTGACCAAACATCACAATAATGTTGTGATTTGAGCTAGCTGGGACGAGATCGTGACATACAAAATTTCCGTCTATGTGATCAAAAATCATCCTAGGAGTAATGGCAACAAAAAAAATAGATTCTATGAATAAGAAGTTAGAGAAAGAGATAGAGCCAAACCACATAAAAAATGGATAAGTGTTTCTTGTCCATGAAGGGGAGATTCACGACCCTGAAAGAAATGAAGAAGGTTGTTGAGTT